TTGTATGGGTTTGTTGTGACTCAAGTGCAGGCCCTGGCACTCAGGCCTGTTGACTTCATACAGTTGGCCTTGGCCTATTGATGCAGCCTGTCTAGGTTGCTCTGTGGACCCTTCCTACCCTCTAGCAGATCGACACTCCCACCCAATTTGGTGTCATGTGCAAACCTACTGAGGGCGCACTCAATCTCCTCATCCAGATCATTGATAAAGATATTAAATAAGACTGGCTCCAAGACTCAGCTCTGGGGAATACCACTTGTGACTGGCCACCAACTGGATTTAACTAGGTTCACCATAACTCTCTCAGCTCGGCCTTCCAGTTTTTTACCCAGCGAAGAATGCACCTGTCTAAGCCATGAGCTGCCAGCTTCTCTAGGAGAATGCTGTGGGAGGCAGTATCAAAGGCTTTACTGAAGTCCAGGTAGATAACATCCACAGCCTTTCCCCCATCCACTCCATGGGTCACCTTGTCACAGAAGGAGATCAGGATGGTCAAGCAGGACCTGCCTTTCATGAACCCATGTTGGCTGGGTCTGATCTCCCGGTTGTCCTGCACCTGCCTGGTGAGTGCATTCCATAATATTCCCCAGTACCGAAGTCAGGCTGACAGGCCTGTAATTCCCCAGATCCTCCTTCCAGCCCTTCTTGTAGATGGGTGTCACATTGGCAAGCCTCCAGTCATCTGGGACCTCCCCTGTTAACCAGGACTGTTGATAAACAATGGAAAGTGGCTTTTTTTTCTCCTCCGCCAGCTCCCTCAGTATTCTCAGGTGGATCCCATCCAGCCCCATAGACTTGTGAGTGTCCAGGTGGTGTAGTAGGTCATTAACTGCTTCCTCCTGGACCATGGGAGGTTTATTCTGCTCTCTGTCCCTGTCTCCCAGCTCAGGGGGCTGAATGTCCTGGGGACAACTGATCTGAGAAGGAAGGAAGAATTCAACCAGCTGAGAAGTATGCTTTCCATTCACACATTCAAGGTGTGAAGAGGTACACAACACACTTTACTATACAGTTGCTATGAAACAGACATCTAAAACTCTAAATATCAGATGTTGTCTATATGATGAAAATACATCCTTTATTTCTCCTTTAGACAGTAGACAAGTTTTTTTTGCTGTTTAATCAATATGAACATAGTATCTGGACTTTTAAGCTCTTCTTAGCCTGTTGATGTACTCACTGGAAATGTCAACTTAATCACATGAGATGAAACAGAAAAACTGTTGTTTTTTTCAAAGATGATTAATTTTTTTCTGTTTATTTGTATATCCTAAATAAACATTTTGATTTGCTGGCTCCAAAATTCCTCTTACACATCTAAAAGGTCTATTTGTTAGAAAAATTGCCCTATTAAATTGGTCGGTATGGACAACACTTCTTCTGAAGCCTTGGAGGACCTTTAGTACATAGTATATGAGTCAAAGCACCTGGATCAGTTTCAAACTGCTGCTAAAGAAGCATCAACCTCCTATCCTCCATGGTACAGTTAGTTCATGCTGGCAAGTAGGAGATGCCTTTTCTGCTGTCTTTGGTCAGGATCTCTGTACATCCTGACAGACATGTACATCTGTTTTTTGATATTGAGATAGGGTATGTTCCTGCCACTTGAAGCATCCACCCATTTCCTAAACTATCATCCCACAAACATTTGCATGACCTATGGATGCATGACTTACTCCACCTATTGGAAACTCTTCACAAACTCCACTTCATCAGATTTCCAGCCCAGGAGATTTAAGGGAAATTTCAAGGAGATCATATGTTGAGTCTTGAATTTCATAAGTATAAGAACTGTATTTGCCTGAAATGAACCCTTTATAGAGAATGTTTTCAAGCATTTTGCAATAGGAATACTATTAAAATGTTAAATGTGGTTTATTATTAATTGTGCTATCTAGTACAGATGGTTTCAGAGTATATTTACTACCATAGTAACTGCATTATAAAGAGAAGATTCTGTACTTCATGAAAAAAATATGAAATGAAGAAAATTGTAAATTTAGAAGAACAGTAAAATTACCAAACGTATATTTACTTATCACTCTCTATACTTTTCTTAATGAGCAGAAGCAATCAGAGGAAAAAAACCCCACTGACTTACCAAAAATTACTCTCTCTAGGTTGGATGTTATTGCATGAATGATACTGTCCTACATGCCATGAACAATCTATTAATTTAGGTCTTCTTGAAAGTGAGCATCTATTACTCCTCATCAGCATTTTCCAGCTTAGGCAGGAAAGAAGAACACCTTGTTTCTGGTTCTGCTAGTAAATTTTCAACAGTAGAAAAAGAACTCTAATTAGATCCATGAGTACTGTATTTGGGCAATATTGTAGGAATGCAATTCAAAGCTGTGCCTGAGTCCTGGAGGGTAAGAAATCATAGCTGTAATCTGCTTATACTTTGGGAACTGGAGAGCCCCGAGTCCATAGCGCCACTGAGGCACCAGGGCTTCCCCATCACAGCAAAATGAGCTGTGTGAGTCCACCCTTGTCCATACCCCTTCCTCACCCGGGGCTTCCAGGAGAACCTCCAAGGACAATGTCTCCCATTGCCTGTGACAGGGCAGTTCATTAGTGAAGGCTTTTAGTGTTTTCACCCATGAGAAGAAATTACATACAGCCTTTGTTAGCTGTACATCTAAGAAGAATTCACAGAGGTATAAACCTTTGCAGAACTGGCAGAGAGTGTAAGAGCTAGCAGGCTCAACTATAGGAAACATTTACTATAAACCTAAGAGCTGACCAGAGGTAGTTCATGAAGAGCTGTCTAGAAGGAAGCAACAAAACAGCAGGCCCCTAAACAAGTATAACAGCTCAATCCACTATTTTGTAACTATAGCTAAAGATGTCTTAAAATAAACTGTATTGCTATGGCACTGAATTTTCTTAGGAGTGAAATACCATATCTACGTGCATGTTTTTCTTTTTTAGTATTTGCTTTAATCTGTTTCAAGCTTCTTTCTTTTTGGTCCCAGTTTGGCAGCTCCCAGATGACAGCATAAATATGCATTTATCTTTAAAATTCAGTTAAAAATTCAAACCATACTGCTTTAAAGTATGTAATCTGGTATGTGAGAATAGCTTTTCAAGCTTCACAGGTATTTTCTTTAGCAGGAAAAATAAAATCCACAAGGACATGTCCTGTTGTGGAACATTTGACAGCTTGCATTGGTAGTGAAGGGAGAGAGACAGGAAAGATGATCTGGAAGCTGGTACTGAAAATTATATATAATTTGAGTTACTCTAATTTTCGTAAAACCAAACTTAACTCTTTTTTGTCCAACTAACCTTCACACAGTGTTTACTTTAACCATATGAAAACCCGAATATTATATGAATGCATAGGCTTTTCATGAAAAACTTAAGTAAAAAACAGCAGGGCCTTAGCAAAACATGTAGTGCAACTGAACAGAACACCTTTTTAAATATGTGTGAAATAAAATATTAGTAACATAACTGGCATTTAGTCACTTGATTATCTAAAGCATGGCAGGTAAGACTTAGAGAAATATCTATTATTCTTTGGGGAAAAGAATAATATTTTCAGTTAAAAGCAATGTATTTTGACACTTGTCAGTAGAATGCCATGATTTCAGGATTTTTGTAATGGTGCAAGTCAACACTTTGTGCTGATTTCTCTTCCAGCAGCTGGCAAACTAACAATCCTCTTGAAACACTGAATGCAACAAATGGTAGACAGAGTTTTCAAGGAAATATTTGACAAAAATTGTGGCCAAACTGGTGAAAGTTTCCACAAGAATTCCCCATGGAAATACATGGTGCAATTTGAGAAAAAACACTCTTGCCAGAAAAGCTGCGGGTAGTTCAGATTTACAATGACTGCATCTATGGGCTTGTTCAAACTTCAACTAGCTGTTACTCTCCTGCTTAATACATGATCTGTATCTCCTTTTAGGATCGGTGGAGCTGTGCCCACAGTCTTCTCCTATTTTTCGGAAGTGCTTGCTCGAGAGAAACGAGGCGAACACCTGAGTTGGCTCTGTATGTTTTGGATGATTGGCGGCATCTACGCTTCTGCAATGGCTTGGGCAATAATTCCTCATTACGGTAAGAAAAACACCTCCTTGTGATTTGTTGCTCTTCTACTATGAGAGTAAAGCTCTTGGAGTATAATTCAAAGAGGAGACTTCATGTCTGTTCTCACAATACTGACCCCGCTGTTATGAAGAAAATTGTTTACTTTTGGTAGAACTAATGAGACTAAGTTGTACCCCAAATAACAAAAATAAAAATATTCAAAGGTGCAAAAATTAGCCAATGTCAATGTTTAGTCAGATGCTTTAAATTACTGAAAACCTGGACACATGAAAATATGTTGTTGTTGAATCTGGAGAAAATAGGTGATGTGGATATTTGCATCAGAGAAAAAAAAGTAAATTGCCGGATGTCAAATTTATGCTCGCTTTGTTTGTTAGATACAGAGATAAAATGTCAATTGTACATTCTTGAGAAAGAAGAGTAAGGACTATCTTAATGTTTGCAATGTTAGTTCTGAGCATAAAGCTGTGCTGAACGTTTTGTTCTTAGTAGATCTTTTTAGTGGTGTAGAAACAGAGAAATTGAACAGAGTGCATTTAAATGCTGTAGAGGTGAATGAGGGCAGATGAGATGGAAATGTTGCAATGGCTGTAGTTATACACACATGCAATATAAGCTACTTTGTGAAAGTGCTCTTTACTGCCCTGACATGGTTAAACATTATGTGGAGGTACAGATTCGATTCTTTGTCTCTTGGGCTTGCCTTTTAGAAGAGCTAAGTGCTCACGGGTCTCCAGGGTTGCTGAGACTGCTCAGGGGTTCTTAAAAATCAGCCTCTGCAAGCACTTCTCCCTGGCACTCCTCAAGACAAGTAAAGCAGCATTGTGAGTTAGCTGGCATCCACAGCAGCTTGCTTTGGCCAAGCAATGAGGTTTATCACAGTTGTACTGTGGAAAAGAGGACAACTTCATAAGGTTTGCCCAAAGTGATTGGAACATTTACCAAGTGGTAATGTCCAGAAATAAATTATCATCATGCAGACTAATCAAATATCTAGACTATTGCATTAAAATTAATTTTAAAGGTCAGTACACACAACCTGAATCTATGTCTTCAACCTTGCCTTTTGGCTTTGAATTGCTGGAATTAAAGAGAGGAATTTTTGCTGACAAGACACAATGTGGATAATTTCTTTTTCCAATTAGTAAATTGCTCTGGATGTGAAGTAATTTTTGCTTTCCTACAGATTTTTATTTTCTTTATCTTTCAGTGGAAAATGCAAACATTATGACAGACTGATTTACATAGGTTGTCTAATTTCATTGTAGATTTTATAAATAACTTCAATAACCTTTACTGAGGTGCTTTTAAAATGTCACTTGGTAGTATATCTCAATGAATAATAACATACTTCCTTATAAAGCAATGGCACTAGAGGGAAATTTTTTTTTCTTTCTCTAGCATTGGAAGAATATCAGCAACAAAAAGCCATGCTGCACTGATTTTTTTGTGTGTGTGTCCTTCCACAAAAATACTTATGACATCACTTAAGACAAAAGAATGTAGAAACCAATTCTAGAAAACAGTATTCTTCAGTGTTAGCCATAAAAATCACTCTCCTTGCAGTGTACTTAGGAAAGTTGTAGTAGCCAAAAGAAGGGCTAAAAAGCAAGCTATAAACAACAGAAATAATCCTTTCTCACAGGAAAAGAAGTGGGTTTACACATCATTTTGGCAAAATTAAACAGAATCTATTTGTGGATTTTGATGAGGTCTTAAAATCGACTTCACTTTAAATCAGACTTCTTTGTTACATTGTGAAATTTAAAACCTGTGTCTCCGCTCCTAGCACAAACATGGAATCACCCCAGCTCAGGACCAGGGGCAAACCGCTTCATTGTGGTGATGCTGTGCCAAGCTCCCAGGCGTTGCTGGGGGCTCCTGGGACAAACCCTGCTCTGGCACTTGGGAGAGCGTGGTCACGCGTTGCTGTACCCTCCTGCAAACACTACAGGTCATGCGAATACCAGAGCAGATCTCTGCACCATGTGTATCAGGAGCATTCATGAGGAGGCTCTTGTAGTGGTATTTTCTCTTTTACCATTTCTACATGGTGTCCATGGAATTATTTTGCCAGAATTAAGCAAAGATACAGATTTTTCTCCAAATCACATCCAGTCCTTCTCATCATTCACATTTCCACTAACCATGGAGAAAAACATAATTATAAACAAAGCAGTCCATCAACTTCTAAGCCTCATTTATACAGTGCATAGGGATTTCTGAGCTGTCTGCTTCTCACATGAGGAGTAAACAGAGATGATTTTTCCCAGCTGAATTCAGAAGTTACTCAATGGTAGTGAATGAAGTTGCATCTGTTGAAAAACCATAAACTGTCATTGAGTGTAGTGGAATTGTTCTTAAATAAATAGAAAAATACCAGGCCAACAGAGTAGAATAATTCCATAGATTTTTTTTTTCTCCATCTTTTACAAATTTATTCCTTTCATTTGTACTGCTTCTTATATAAGGCACTTTAAAAAGTCCTAGATTCACAGCCAGTATGCATTATCTAGCCCAAGGGAGCCAGTGGAGCTACCTATACAAGTTTACCAGCTGAACATTTAACTCTATCTTTCTGTGAGAAAACAAAAATTACATTCTCTATATGTAATAGTTTATCTCTGTTTCTGTTCAAGCAGCATAGGAGTGTCTGAAACCTGAGTAACATTCTGAAACACAAAATAAAGGGAAGCTAACAGTTGCCTTGGCATCAGCCTATTGTTAAGAGAGGAATCATCATGATGTAGTGGTGCAGTGACCACATATGGAAAGGCTAATATAATCTGGAAGACAAGCATCTCTGTCTCAGGGCTTCTTGAATTCCATAGCTGTTGACTAAAAATTGAAAATGGATGTAGAATTATTCAGGGTCTCCAAAAGAGGAGTTCAGGTCATGGAGAAGCTATTATAAGAAACATCTGCAGAGAAATGCTTCTAATTGCTGCCAATTAACAAAGTCCCAGATTAGGCTGCTACAAAGAAATTGCTTTATGCACTACTTAGATCAGGCTGGATAGGAAGGATAATTACCATTTTATAAATAATTTTGCAAGTGCAACTTTAAATTTAGCGTCATGTTTCAAGGTAGATAAGTTCAAAAACTGCCAAATGCATCAATTGTGTATTATAATATTCTTTAAAAGGTTCATTTTTCAAATAATGACAAATCCTAAGGGTGAGAATTTACTTATCAGTTTAAAATCCATTAATATATTTTAATCCAGTGATATATTACGATTTTGTTACACCAAGTTTATGCGTTAGTCTTGCAAAAAGAATGATGCAAGTCGTTCTAGCCATTTTATCTTTTTAATAAAAATAAAAGTAATTTAAAAAGTTATAAAATTATCAGTTCTACAAAAAAACCCATATAGCCTGCCATACATATGTATTATCTTAAAAATCGGTACAATTTTTATTGTACCATGTCTTCAAACTAAAAATCAGAGGAAACTGGATAAGGATTTCAGTGTATTTAAGCTATTGGTTTTGGTATTCTATGTAGTTTTATGTTTTGCATATATAGTGTATACAAGCCTTTTCTGGCCTCATAAACTACAGAAAAACCTTTAGAAATTTGAAATATTCCCTAGAGTGTTTTGCTTAGTGACAAACAAATATTGATTTGTAAATCTTATTCCTGAACAAGAAGGAGACTACATAGCCAAAAATAAATTAAAGTGCAAGGCAGAGAACAGGATGCTGCAGGTATCCAGGCTGCTACAGCATAAGCTGCATTTGAAATCTGAAGCCTTCCCCACACTCTAACCCCACAATTCTGGAATTTACCAGGGGAGAGTAGTTTCTGTAGTATTTTCTGTTGTCATGTTTTCTCTGTTCTTGTGTCATCCACTTGGAGATAAAAAAGGTAAGCAGACCTTCAAAATTGCGATAATATCCCCTTTTGTATGAAATCATTGTGAACCATACTGTAGTAAAATAGGCGAGAAGGTAAGCAGACCTGCATGCAGCAGCTGTGCAGACGAAGAGATGGAGAGCTACTGCCTCACTGTGCAACTCACAGCATGTACAGCACCCATCAGTGCTAATGGAGGAGTTAATCAATCTCTCAGCCTGTAAGAAACTAAACTGAGATGGACTAGAACTGTTCAGTGGCAATGACTTTAAACTACCTTATTCTATCTTTTATTTTGTTGGTCTAAAGGATTTCTCAGTGGCACATGGCAGCAGCATTATTGGGATACAAAATCTTATGCCTATGCTATATATCATCAGTGGGGTTATAGGGCACAGGAGTACTTGATTAGCAATAAAAGCAGAAGGATCTTAGGAGACATCCATCTTCCAGCACTTCTGATGAACAGAACTGGATCCTTCTGAGCGGTGGCAGCTGCAAGTGTGGATGTGCAGAGATTTCAGTCTAGCCTGCTGGTCTCTTCCCATTATGAGGAGACAGGAGTTTATTGCATTAGCAAAGCAGAGTCAAAAGGTTGCACTCTTCTGTGACGATGCTTATTCCAAGATTAATGCCATGAAACAATTGTTCCCCAGTACATAAACGTTACATAGTATACGTTTTAGACAATATAAGGGAAAAGTGGAGCTTTTTCTGTTTGTTTTTATTTATAAGGTTAACAAATGGCTTTCTTACTAAGATGAAGGAGTAGAAGCCAGATTTTTTGCTAGCAGCTTGTATAGGCTACTTTTTTTTCAACAATAACCCATGAACTTGGGTATCTCAAAGTCTAGGTCAGGATTATACCTGGATAAGTATAGAAAATTCTTGACTACTTTGAAAAATTAAGGTCTTAACCTCTATATCACTTTTCTGTAAAAACCCCCACTATTAATTACTTTGTTGAGATTGCACAGATTAATATCTGTAAAGTGTCTTTAGACACAATTTGCTCAAATGTATAAGCTTCAAAGTGTCAAAGTTGATAGTGATGCTGTAAATAAATGGCTGTTACTTTTACAGATATCATCGCATTTCAAATATTTCTTGTAGTGCTTCTAAATTCTGAAATGTGTATTAGAGGCAGGTCTGAGCATCAGAGAAAGAGCTTAATTTCACTCATGGCTATTCTATCAGCTGGTCCCAGCATTTTCTCGGCAACGAGGTGCCCAGCAGCTTATAAATGTATTATAAATCATGATTACATCTTAGGGAAAGGATCACCAAGTTCCTTCTTCCACCTTTCCTTTGCTGTAGTCCCCAGACAGGAATTTGACTATCTCTGATGCAGTGCACCCATCCAGTCAAAAGACTGGGATGCGCTTACATGATTTATAATAAAAAAGAGCCACACTTGACTGATTTCATATTGCTGCATCACCACGGTGACTGTGCCCAAAACAACCAGGGAAAGAAACCATACTCAGTAGTCATATCTACAGAGATGATTTACTGCAGTTCCTTGTACATCAGCATGTGATTAATGTGAGTTGGAAATAGGAAAAACAGATACGTGATGGCTGTTTGGTTTCCTTGTTTGAAGCTGGAACATGCTGAAATAGGATCCCATCAATGATTTAGACATGCAAGAGGTGCATCAGTGATGTCTTCTTTAATCTTGCAGAAGGCAAATAAGAGAAAAACATGATTAGGTGCAAAGGGAAAAGGAATAAACTGCTTACTGACAATAAGACAAAAGGTGACAAGCTGAAATTTCTGTAAAGGGGAGGTAGCATAGATAATGAAAAAGACTTTCTAATGTTGTGTTAGTTAAGCATCTGAATAAAGCTGCTATGGAAGTAGTGAAATCTCAGTCACTGTCTTTAAGAACATATTTTGAGAGTATTTTAGGGGCCATTGTAGATTCTGATTTGGAACAAGTGGATGCACTGGTCCCACCCACTCCTGTTCTCGGGCTACTATTAAACAGATACTGTTGCTCCAGACAGTGCTGGGTTAGGCTAGAAAAGAGTAAATGAAGAAAACAAAGACAAAAGGAAGAGAGAACTTCAGAAATTAGAAGGAAAAAAAAAAACAAAACCAAAACCAAACAAAACCAAAACCAAAACCCCAAAACAACAAAACAAAGAGAAAAGGAGCAGCTTTGGACCTTCCCAGCACATGTAGGAAAATGCCTATCAACTTATGCGAGCTGGTAGCTCCATAAGGAAGACAGAATGTTTCTCTGCTGAATAACCCTTCACTGGTAGAAAGAGAAATGAAAATTTGATCCTTCTCTAATCTCGAAAACGCTGGACTCTCAATTTAAAAACCTAATATTTTTCTTATTTTTCTCAAACCTTTCCCTAATAGTCTGCCTTTTCATGGTGGTTCAGAACAAATCCAAGCTGTGGCAGCAGCTGTTTTAGAAAAAGCTGAGCCCAAGGCTCCATTTTCTATTACACAGTAGCTTCTGTTCTTTGCAGAAGATCTCTGAATTTTATTAGTCGTCCAGAACAAAGAGAGATGCCAAAGAAGATGGCCTGGGGAAGAACTGCATGTGTCTTTTCTCAATTGTAAAAAGCCCATTAATGCACTAATAAATCTGTAGAATTTTAAATCAATATATTTCTTTTTTTTTTTTTTGGATGATATGTTTGATCAAAATTTTAAAACCAAGAGCAGATCTTCAATTTTGCCTTCTCCATACTATCACATTTCTGATACATCTTCTGTCTTCAGAATCCATGGATAACTTAACCAGTGCAAAATACTGTTGGAGATTTAAAAAGAGAAGTTGGAGTTTTGTTAAGGTTGAATCTGCATTTGCTATGAGACTGTGTCACGCTGAACAAATGAAATAGATCATACATAAAGGCATCTACTACATAATGCAACATCTGTTGATCTGTTTTGCATTCCACTAAGAGGCAAAATGATGCCCAATATGCTTTGCTTGCCCCCATACTTAGTGCACTTCCATTAATCTGGTATTCTGCAGGCTGAAGCTATATCTATACTTTTTACATCCAAGTTAATTAAAGTGGGTACGAAGCAATTTTAATGTTAACTTATCAACTCCTACTCATTAATTGTTCTTCATTTGAAATAATACTATGAAATTCGATTATACTGAATGTATATACTTAAAAAAAAAAATCTTTAT